GAACGTTCCTGAGAACGCTAAGAATGCTAAGAACGGCTTAAGAATGCTGGTGCTGCTGAGAATGATCTTATGCCAGTCTCAAGCATTCTTATGACGGTTTTACGAAAGAATGGCTTTGAGAATGCAACAGTGCGGAAAACTTAGCAGAAACACGCACAAGTTACAGCGGTTTGCCCCTTCCATATATAGTTCAAGCAGGAAACAGAGAGTCAGTCCTGTATTCTGAAATAAGTTCATAGTGCTGAAATCATCCACAAGACCGACCATGAGGGCCCCTACTGCTCTGGACCCGTGGGTAAGGCCCTTCGAAAACTAGTACTGGCTGGCACCAGGAAGTCGCCCCAGTATACAAGTGAAGCAGACACGCCCCAACAATCAACTATCCAACGAAGGATTTAGTCAGTCAACGTATGGAACGGGCCCCAAGCAATTTCTGTCGATTTGCATAGTAACGTGCCACTCCCATTACCTATTACTTCACCAATACGTCCCTGTGCACAACATTCATTCGGTTATCCATCAGCCATACCATCAGCTGTACCTTCATTGAGAAGCCCCACCCAGGCCCAGCACCAGGAAGCCCAACATGACCAAAGTCAGAGTGTACACCAACCAGTCATCCTCCACGGGTTGCTTCTTTATATCAAGGGCGCCAAGCGGCCTGACCATTGTCAGCAGATTATTGGAGCATGGATTCTGCTGTCTTTTATCTAGTGAGATAAAGTGCCTGCATGGCTGAGCTGATGGACAAACAATGGTGCACTTCGATCACTCTCAACACTGTGCTTAGGATTCACAGGGACTGACGGAAAGACCTAGCACAAGCACACCGTGGCACACACAAGGGCGCCACCCTGCCGGTCTGACCATCAAGTCCCAGGCTAGACAGAACACGAGCACGTCTCAACCCATTCATGGGCCAGCTGCACGGTGGCAACACCGCCAGCTCAGCGGGTTTGTGGTCATTCACCAGCCACAGCCAGAACTCCAGTCTCACCAGCCCCAAACGTTTGGGGTTAACCCCGCCCTCTCACACTCAAACTACAAGCTGGCCGCTCACAGATGGAATCTGCCTGGCCACTGTGGAATGGCATCCGTGTGCATATTCAATGCTCAGGAGAGGTGGAATAGCCGACGGAGCTCCTTGTGGACATAAGCCAGGCTGTATGTCTCATTTTCCAGATCACCACCCTGAACATACCAGTGGAGGCGCGGGCTCCAGGTGCCAGCCTTGCCAGCCGCCCCAGCATGCACAGTGTTGCCATGCAGGAAAATGATCTGGCCAGGCTGTCCCCGCATCCTCATGACTGGGTGACTCGGGAGGTGTGACACGAACCTCAGGGCTGTCTCGTCCGGCAGGGTCAATGTGTTCGCCAGGGACAGGCCTGATGGCGTGCCACCCCGCCCCGCCCCCTGACCGCTGTGGGGGCTGGCCTCCCCACCTGCCGCACTGCTTCTGTCGGCTCTGCTTGCATCACCTGCTTCGGCATCATCTGCTGCTGCAGCAGCAGCTGCAGCAGCAGGCTCTGCCCGAGCAGCAAACGCCTGCACAGTGTGGTGGCTCCCTGGGCTCACCCACAGCTCGATGTCCTGCTCCAATGGCACGATTGCAACAAACGACATCCCTCTGCCAGGCTGCATGTCCACGTGCAGCGTCTGCCGACGAATGGGGGCTGTGCCGCCAGGGTTGTTGCCAAGGATCACACCAGGCTTGACCAGGTGCAAGCCAGGGATCCACGTAGGATGCTATGTTCGACAGGCTAGGCCCCGGCTGCACCTTGTCCAGCTTGACCATCATACGCCTCCCGGTTCCATTGCTGAGTCGGAGCCTGCCCTCGTGGGTAAGCCGTGGTAGCCCTCCCTGCCGCGAGGGAAGGTCCCCACGCTGAAATATTGCTGCTGCCTTATCGCCTGACACGAGCTCAGTGGCGCTTGTGGGAACATCAGGAGTGATCAGAGAGGCGAGGTGGGGATCGTCTACTACCGCAAACCCCTCCTTGTCAAGCATCACCGGGACCATGTCTATCGTGTGCGTGAAAAGGTCTGTTTCGAGTACATGGCTGTCCTCTGGTTCCGGCTCAGATTCCACGTCCGAGTCTGATGATGACTGGATGGCCCGGTTCCTGGTGGGCCTTCGCCGATGGCGAGACTCCCGATAGGACACCACCGCACCAGCCATGCGGCGGATCTCTCGCTCAAGGTGTGCTTCATCATTGGGCAGCAGTCTCCTCCTCTCGTCTGCTGCTTGAGCAGCCGCCTCACCGCCACGGGCATCCTCAGGCGCCGGCGGTGGCAGCTGCACAGTAGCAGAGGCGCCCCCCTCCTGCAGGCCGCATTGCACGGAGTAATGCACAGGAGGCACGTTGGGTTCACCAGGCTGGTCAACGGGCAGTGTCATGCGGTGCACCCGTTGTGTGCTCTGTGGTGCACCCTCCCTCACACGGACCGCCCCGCCCCTCAGGCTCCACCCTGTCGTGCTGCTCCTGTGGAGTGTCATTTGGTGCACCCGTTGCATGCTCTGTGGTACACCGGTGTACCCTCAATTATGTAGACCGACCCCGCCCCTCAGGCTCCCCCACCTGCTGTCTTACCGCGCACGGAAACCGTGGGCTGGGCATGGCAGCTCGTCCGGCAGTCGACGGGGATGGCACAGCAGCCGCCTCACCGCCACGGGCGTCCTCCTCCTGCAGGCCGCGTCACACAGAGTGATGCACAGGAGGCATGACAGGTTCGCCAAGGTTGGTCGACGAGCAGTCATGGCAGCGGGAAGCAGACTTGCACCGAAGCCTTGGTATACCGGAGTACACCACAGAGAACACAGCAAGCAAGTGCATCTGAGGATGCCCCCCTTCGTGCCATCCCCAGCCGACACACTCCACCCTGTCGTGCTGCTCCTGTGGAGTGTCATTTGGTGCACCCGTTGCATGCTCTGTGGTACACCGGTGTACCCTCAATTATGTAGACCGACCCCGCCCCTCAGGCTCCCCCACCTGCTGTCTTACCGCGCACGGAAACCGTGGGCTGGGCATGGCAGCTCGTCCTGCAGTCGACGGGGATGGCACAGCAGCCGCCTCACCGCCACGGGCGTCCTCCTCCTGCAGGCCGCGTCACACAGAGTGATGCACAGGAGGCATGACAGGTTCGCCAAGGTTGGTCGACGAGCAGTCATGGCAGCGGGAAGCAGACTTGCACCGAAGCCTTGGTATACCGGAGTACACCACAGAGAACACAGCAAGCAAGTGCATCTGAGGATGCCCCCCTTCGTGCCATCCTCAGCCGACACACTCCACCCTGTCGTGCTGCTCCTGTGGAGTGTCATTTGGTGCACCCGTTGCATGCTCTGTGGTACACCGGTGTACCCTCAATTATGTAGACCGACCCCGCCCCTCAGGCTCCCCCACCTGCTGTCTTACCGTGCACGGAAACCGTGGGCTGGGCATGGCAGCTCGTCCTGCAGCCGACGGGGATGGCACAGCAGCCGCCTCACCGCCACGGGCGTCCTCCTCCTGCAGGCCGCGTCACACAGAGTGATGCACATGAGGCATGACAGGTTCGCCAAGGTTGGTCGACGAGCAGTCATGGCAGCGGGAAGCAGACTTGCACCGAAGCCTTGGTATACCGGAGTACACCACAGAGAACACAGCAAGCAAGTGCATCTGAGGATGCCCCCCTTCGTGCCATCCCCAGCCGACACACTCCACCCCCTCGTGCTGCTCCTGTGGAGTGTCATTTGGTGCACCCGTTGCATGCTCTGTGGTACACCGGTGTACCCTCAATTATGTAGACCGACCCCGCCCCTCAGGCTCCCCCACCTGCTGTCTTACCGTGCACGGAAACCGTGGGCTGGGCATCATCTGTATCATTGCGTCCCCTGTCTATCGCACAGTTGCTGCTCCTCATCGTCCGCCACCGGGCGTCATGTTTGCGGCCCGCTTTCACTTCCTGGTCTGATGCACACATGAGAGCCTAGATGAACCAGCTCCTCTGACTGCAGGAGCAGCGACAGGGGACGGACGGGGGTCAGGGAGACCGCACGACACTCAAGGTGCGACCATACTCCCCCCTGCCATGCATGAGCTTGGTCTTGATCTCACCCATAATCCTACCTGTTCGCCTGCTTCTGAAGGGGCCAGCCCATTGCTCTGGCCAGCACCAGAGACCTCTGTGCCATCCTCGGACACCCCATACTCGCCAGCATCACCAGTGCCGCCGTGCTTCACCGGGTCCACCATGGCAGCATCACCTCCCTGGGTGGATGGTGACAGGCAAGAAGATCGTGCGTGTGTGTTATGGGTGCGGGAAGGTTGGAAGGCCGCGGGCCGGCGACAGGGCAGTGGTACATACCTCAGCTCCCCCGGAGGTCACCACCTCCTCACCAGCCTTCAAAGCTTCTTCATTCCCCTGTGACATACACAATCTGTTTGTAAAGGTGCCCATGCATATCGCTCCCCGCCCCAGCCCTTGAGCTGGAAACCCACCGTTGTCATGGTCCTGTCAGCCGCGCTGGCTGCCTGTGACGTGATGACACTGGCGGCACGGAGGTGAAGCGCAAAGCTTGAAGCGGCATGCTCAGACAAAGCCGTGCTGCGTGCAGGGACCCCTGGCATGGTACACAACCCGCTGCTGTGCTCAGGGAGGCTGCCAGCGGCGTGCTGGCTGCCTGGCAGCCCACACTCAGCAGCTATCGGCGGCAAAGCTGCTGCATTCTTGATGATCTGCATGTGTGCAGGCACCCTGGCTTCAGCTGAGACAACCTGGGCGGAACAAAGGCAGGTAGCGTACCTCATCATACAGCCGAGTCCATGGCCGCATGGGCCAATGGTACATCATGTTGTCCTCGCGACCAATCTGTCCTTGGGCTGGTGTGGTGTGTCTTATGTGGTCCAGGACAAACGCCAGAGCGGCATCATGGCACATGCCCCTGATCCGCTCTTTGTACTCGTTTGTCTTCATCGCCAATCCTTCACGGATGTACCTCTTAAGGCTCTCCTCCTTGGCGCCACTACCAAGCATTCCGACTAGCGTCCTCTCCACCTGTGAGGACGGAGACAATCTGTTTGCGCGCCGAACACTTCTCAGCAACAACCTGGCACAGTATTCACCTGATTGCCAGCCGAGAATCTCATTGATACGAGATCGTCTGGCTTGCTGCGCCTTGGAACTGTGGCAACCCACTCAATGCCATCTACAACAACTACGAAGGTTTCTCCGGCGCGGCACTGTGCAAGTTCACACGCAAAGTTAAACACTTCACGTTTAAGGCGTTGGCCTACGTACGGCCTGTGTGTCGAAGGAGCTAAGACCCCCAGCAGGGGCAGAAGCAGGGGGCGAGGCAGCCAGGAGCAAGGGAAAGGGCTTGGAGCAAAGCCCCCCAGGGGCAGGGGCAGGGGCAGGGGCAAGCATAGCTTGTGTAGCTAGTATTGCCTTTAAGTTGTTGCATTTAAGCTTGTGAGTTGGTGGCCTGGTTTATGCTTATGGGCGACAATTGCATGACTGGGTGACAGGGGTGACAATAATGCGCGCAGGCTTGAGAGTGGGACTTCTGGGCCCATAATACATTGAAAGGCCGAGTGAGAGGGGTGACAACATTGCGTGATGGCTGTTGTGGATGGTGGGTGACAGGGGTGACAACATTGCGCGCAGGCTTGTGTGGATGCCAGGTGACAGATCTGACAAATTGGGTACACATGTGTGAATGCTGCGTGACAACAAAGCGTGCAGGCTTGTGTGAATGCTGCTTGACATTGGTGGCATTGGTGACACAAACATTGTTGTGAATGCCGGGTGGTGACGCTGACGTTGATGACACAAACATTGTTGTGAATGCCGGGTGACAGGGGTGACAGCCTTGTGCAGGAAGGTTTATGCAGATTACAGGTGACAGGTGTGATGGCCTTGTGCAGTCAAGGAATGCCAGGTGACACGGGTGACAGTGGTGTGCACACATGGACAAGGATAAATTTAGGTATTTTAGGTATATACCTGAATCATATATGAATATGCTTAATGGCATGGTGCCAAGATGACGTGGGAGGCAGTGATAACAGTACTGTCCCAGGTGTGTAGGCATGCAGGCAGGGTGCTAGGTATGATGAATACCTGACCATTAACCCACCTGACCATTAATCCAATTAACCGACCGTTAACCCAACTGATCATTAACCCAACCGGCCGTTAACCCAACCGGCCGTTAACCCAACCGGCCGTTAACCCAACCGCCCGTTAACCCAACCGACCGTTAACCCAACCGACCGTTAACCCAACTGGCCGTTAACCCAACCGACCGTTAACCCAACCGGGCCGTTAACGCCATTCAACCGGCCGGTTGGGTTAATGGGCCCCAAACGGTCGGTAACCGGCATGTTTATGCCATAGGGCTTCCTTGTGTTTGAGTTTGGTTAGCTATGGGAAGCGACTTGCAAGCAGGACTTCCTTGTGTTTGAGTTTGGTTAGCTATGGGACGCGACTTGCAAGCAGGACTTCCTTGTGTTTGAGTTTGGTTAGCTATGGGAAGCGACTTGCAAGCAGAACTTCCTTGTGTTTGAGTTTGATTTGCTATGGGACGCGCCTTATATGCAGGACTTCCTTGTGTTTGAGTTTGGTTTGCTATGGGACGCGACTTGCAAGCAGGACTTCCTTGTGTTTGAGTTTGGTTAGCTATGGGACGCGACTTATAAGCAGAACTTCCTTGTGTTTGAGTTTGGTTAGCTATGGGACGCGACTTGCAAGCAGGACTTCCTTGTGTTTGAGTTTGGTTTGCTATGGGACGCGACTTGCAAGCAGAACCTCCTTGTGTTTGTTTGAGTTTCCATGTAAGCAACTATGGACAACTAAACCATCCATCCTTGGCCTGTTTTGCAGTCCTGTCAGTATTCCAAGTTCTGCACCTGCAGCCTCATTTTACAGCAGAACACCCAAATCTAATCCTCCAACTGGTTCCCAATCCTATGGCAGCGACCTCATCCTAA